CTGCAGCTGAAGGTTAAAGTGTGAGAGTTTGTGTGTTGCTGGTAACTGCAACAGGAAGCTAAGTCTCTATTTGATCAATGCCTGCCATAAATTCTGCCCTGTTTCACTTTATAGTGTGCAGCAAACTTTGTACTGAAGTGCTTAAATGTATCTGTACAACCTGCTTTTGGAGGAGTCTGGGACAGAACAAGAAAAACCCCCAGCTGCTAAAATTGCTGGTTCAGATGATAAATTAGAAATTGTGGTATTGAGAAAGGTGTGACATTGGACTAACTTTTCTGGAGTGGAGTTGAGGGTACACTTCTAACTTTCCTGTGGAGCATTTTTGGGAAGGGGCAGGGGAGATGGGGAATGACAGCTAGCTGTTCCCTATATCTTAAAACTTTTTGCTTTAAACTGTTATGGGGAACGCCCTGTTTCTTTTAAGGTATTCTGTTGTTTTTTAACACTAAAAGGGAGCCAGAAGCCTCATAAGGTTGTTTATTTTTAAATGTTTTTTTTTAAAAAAACAAGTGTTGGGCATCTTGCCACATGGTGTTCCCTTTTTAAGCTTTTCCCTATTTCTAAAATTACACTTTCTGGTTAACTATGAGGGGGGAATTCCCCTCCACAAACAATTTGGCTACTACATGGGCAGATTCAGTTCAAGTTTCCTTGTGCTGTCAGATCTTCAAATTGAAAGCAAACGTTTAAGTGAAGCTGCACTTCTAAGGGATTTTGTTTTAAAATACCCCAATACAGACAGGATCTTCATACTTCTCCAGAAGTGAAGACACGGTCTACTCTGCAGTCACTTGACAGCTAATAATATCGGCCTGCTAATGAGGGCCATTTCCTGTTCCAAATGCAGAAAGATAAGTATTCTTGGTTTAAAGCAAAACGGACTCCAGTTACCCATTTTTAACTGTTATAACAAAACTGGAAATAACCAAATGCAGCTTAATTAATACATTACTTTGAAACACACTCTCTCTGGATAGTAGTTGTGATGAAGTGCAAAAGCTCTACTTTTAGGCATGCAACTCCAACGAGTTTGTGTTATGATCGCTAACAGTCCCACACAACTTGAAGCTTGAAGCGTGTGTGGTCTCCCTTCCTGGACTCTCGGCTGTACCTGATGAATGGCCATATTGGAACATGACCTTCACTAGACTCTCATTGTTATAAGTGACTTATCCCAGGCTAAGTACTAGCAAGGTGAACTTTCAGAGAAAGCAAACAATTTGTCACTTAAAAAAAAAAATTGAGTTGGTCTAATAAAAGATATCACCTCTACCATGAGTCCTGACTGCTTTTTTGTTGTTGTTAAAAATGAAGCATTTATTGGGCTGCTGCCCTAGACTATGAAAAGTTGAGCAACAAGGACTGGGCAACACTTTTCTTTGTCTTGCACATCCTCAGAGAAATGGTTGCCAAATTGCCAGTTCTGGAAATTCTGGCAGAGTGGATCAATGTAACGGTCCCTTACAAAGGGGTTTGCACAATGAAAAGATTACACCCTGTAGGATGTGGCACAACTTCCTGAACAGAAAGATGCATCATTAAGCAGTGAATTAGGTTGGCAGAGGAAGGGTCCCTGCTATCAAATATTGGGATAGGAAATGGCCTTGTTTCACTAGCTTGCCTGGTCCCCAGATTGGGGTAACAGGTTCATTTAAAAGACAGTTCTACCCTTTTCTTTCTGGTGCCTCTCAGTTGCATAAGTGCTTTCTGTACTTAAACACAAGTTAGCTCTGCTTTTCAGATGGAGAGTCTTGGAGCACAGGTTACAGACTTATTGACTAGCTCAAACCTCTGACCCATTTCTTGGATGGCTATCCAAAAACATCAAAACCTGGAAGTAGTATTTCTAGGAGAGACTTGGTGTAGCATGTCCATTTAAAAAAAGGATCTGCCAATAATTGCATGCATCGGAAAAAAGAACGTGAGTTAGGTCTGCATATCTTGCAGCTTTCATGACCTTTGTGCTCAACCTAATCTTTGGTAAACTCTTTCAGCCATATTTATTGTGCTTTAAGCTACTTATCAACTAACCTGCTGAGTGCATCCCATAGGATGCGAAAGAGGTGCAGCCTGTTTTGAAGAAAGTGTGTTTCCCTTTCTGATAAACTGCTGGAGGGGAGGGAAAAACAAATGCGAGCTGAGGAGCAACATATTCTTATGAATACCACAGGAGATCATTTAAGGTACTAAAGGGATAACAGGAGCTTTTAATTGATACAATGCATAAAAGCAATATAATGTAAAGATATTTTAAGAGTAGATCTTGAGTTGGCTTTCATTATTCTGCTGAACAGGAGAGTTTAGTCCTAACACTATAAAATAAAACCAAATTTTCTCCATCCTGTAAAGATTGCTGCGTCATGACAAAGGGTGAACAAAAAAACCTCACAGAAGGCATATCAAGGCAAGTGCAGTAATGGTTACACTTCCTATTTGTACACCACTCTACAGTAAGTGGTGGTAGATGAAGAGGGGAAATTTGCCCCCCCAAGATAAGCAGGCTTTCCTTCCTCTTGGGTCCTGTTCAAGAGCTGCTTCACTTCCTCCAATTCACAAGCTCTTTGTACAAGGAGACTTAGAAGCGGATATGTGGTAGGGTTTATTCTACTCCTATGAAACTTGTGGCTTATAAAGGTACAGTTTGCCTCTGACGCATCAGAGTTAATTACCAAATTAATCAACTTTGACTTGTTCAACTCCCTCTTTTGTTCAAATAGTACACTCTGAAATGTTTTTAGTGAAATATTAACAGTAATAACATTCCAGTGCCTAAAAATAATGACCCTTAGCTTAGTCTTGGCCAAGAAAAGTTAAAGTCGCTCACTGCAAGTATCTGATATAGCTGCTAATCAAAGTCTTAAACTACCCAGGAATGAGGAAAATTTCTGCTTCAGCACTGACAACTGACCGGGTCATTGTACGGGATTTTTGATGTTCTGTTAAACAAACGTACTGGCTAAAAACCGGCAGGTTAGTTAGTTAGTTAGTTAGTTAAAATGTTTTAACAGCCACCTCTTAAATGGAATAAAGCCAGAGATCTTAAATTTTTAATGCATACACCTAATCAGGGGTAGCCAAGTTCCCTTATAGAAATGATTTATTTACCAATGGTTGCACTGTTTGCCAATGACTGCCCTTGATACACTAGCTATGGTGACTTTCTATGAGCAACATATTGTTGATGGACAAACAAATGAGGTCTAGTTTATTTTCAAGACTCTTGCAGCTAGAAAGAAATGTATTAAGCTTTTGGAACCAGGACCAATTTTTTTTGTACTGCACCAGCACATTTGTCCTTGTCCAAGAACAGTAGCAGTATAGGAGTAAAAATGACTAGTCCCGGATACTGGATCCTTGGCATTCTGCTACTTCTAATCTAAATGTTGCATGTGAACACTTGCTGCTTGTCTTGTAATCACTAGATCTCTAACTTGTTAATGAATCCACCCATTTATTATTTTGTGAACAAGTGACAAGGCTCTTTTCTGAAGATATTATGTAGTGAGGGAAATGCATAACTTGGTGAAGCTCATTATGGCTGAGACCTTTGCAAGATGTTTTATTGGAATGCTTGGGTTCCATTTCAACGTTGTGCCTATAGACTGGGATTTCCAATTGGGCTTGAGGATGGTCAGACTTGGGGGGGGGGGGGAATTTGTCCCTCCTTTCGTGAAGAAAGGAACTTGTATTCAAGCAGGAGATGTGGTCTAGAAATGTAGCTGATATCTAGGATTGCTGGCAAAGTAGGTTCCCTTACAGGGGGAACAACTGTGAAAGCCATGCTACAGAAAGGCTCATTCATTGACCGTCCTTCTCCCCTTACCTCCGTCAATGATGTAATGATTGCTGTGACTGGAAGACAGAAATAACTGGGGGGGGGGAGGGAAGGAGAATTGGCTGCTGGTGCACAAAGCCAGCAGATTTTAATATTTTTTTGGGAAAAAATTGTGTGCTAGGTCAAACTAGCCAGATCAGTTCCAAATCTTTTGAGTCATTCAAAAACCATATGTGGCCCTACTACCAGTAAGGATCCTCCACCCTTCAGCTTGGGGCTTTGGATGCTTCCAAATCCATTGGCAAACATCCTATGTGCCTGGAGGCTTGGAGTTCAGATACCCCCTGAGTTTTGCTTGCCCTTGGCCAATGGCTACAGGGGCAAGTAGGGAGGAGTCGCACGTTTCCATAAAGTCGGTGTGTAGCCGAGTTCCTCCCACTAGGAAGCGCAACTATGCGGCTCTTGTAGCAGATCGTACAATTATTTCTAAAGGTGTTCTGAGAGCCACACTGCTGTGGAGCTCCTCCTACCCTCTTCTTAGGCTTTTTTTCAATGGCACATGCTTCATTAATATCTAGTCCTTTCTTGTGACGGGCCAGATAAATGTGCTTTTTGCTAGTGGTGGCACATTGCATTGCAATTTTAAAATGATCCAGTGTCTCGCATGGGTACAAAATACAACAGTGATCTTTCCAAAGGTGGTGCATGTCCATTTTCCTAAGTATTTGGGGGATGCATCTTATCGAGGCAAACTAGCCCAACACCCCACTCGTTTGTATTGGTCAGCGCACCGCTTGAGTAAAAATGGCACTTCGAGCATTAGGAAAGGTCTATTTAAATGCTGAGACCAAATATTCAAATAGCTACCAATCACTGACCTTCTGAAACCCTTTCAACGTAATGTAACCCAGGGTTTTTAAAAAAGTAAAGTGGACTTAGTGTGAGAACAAATACAACTGTGTGTACAGCTCTCCCTGGGTTACAACAGCTCTGGGCTGTGACTGTCTTGCAGCTGTTGTGGATGTGTTCCAGGCAGGAAAAAGGAAACGGCAACCATCCAGCATCCTCTAAGGAACTAATTGAGCATGCTGGTATTGCAGGGGCAGGAGGAACAAACACATGACCAGAGCCTCCATATAAGGAGAAAAGTGTGGGGTGACGGGCTACTTCCAATTGCAAGGCAGAGAACACATGACATAAGATGCTACACATCCTCCTGGTGAGCGCTAGTTTAAAAATGAGGGATGCTGAACACATGTGGTCATACAGAAATATTACAAAGGAAAAGGATTGCACAAAGGCAGAGACGATGCACTGTAAGATTTTGCTCTGAAATCGTAACGGTTTTTTTTTGGCTTGAGCTAAAGTTTCATATTTCCTATGACTTCCTATGACCGCTTCAAAACTGTAGATTACAACTGAAAATGAATCCATATAATCTAGAAAGTCTGAAATCTTAGACTCGACTGCATCCTAGGACTGAACTGGATAATTGTATGGTATTGTGGTGTTGATAAACTTCAGTGGTGGCTTTTTGTTAATTAGTTGGTTCAGATAACTATATTGAGAACGGACTTTTGAAGGTGTTTTTTCATTTTAATGTCTATTATAGGGACAATGCTGCCGGATCTGGAGACAAGAGGAGCGTTTGGAGATTCAGCCACACAGGCTTGCTTAAAGCCAGATATTCGTGTGCCTTGTGAGGTGTCTGTGGATGATGTGCTAGTGAACTCTTCAGCTGGGTTTGTCCAATTTTTAAGACTTTCTCTATTTTCAACTGTGGGGCTATTCACCTAGAGTATCTTGGAGTGGGGGGAGGCAGGGATGGGCTGCTATAGAAATTAATCTGTCACGCTAAACTAGCAGGCTTGTATCGAATTTTACAAGATTTCAAATTTCTGCTACTGCTTCCAAAATAATATTGGCTACACGTTTTCCCTGCCCCCCCCCCCCACCATGAGAGACAGTGGAATAGTAATTGTATACATGAGCGCTTTAGAGAATGCTGTTCCTGATATAGGACATAACCATGTGTTTGGTATATGACTGAAGTACAAACTTGAGTGTTCTGCTAAGTGAGAATAATCTTGTCTATAAAACTGTCGCCAACTACATGCCTGTTTGGAATTTGCGTAGCTTTCCGGTATGAACTATTGGCTTAATCTACCCAAGGGCAGATTTTCAGCTCAAACCATAATGAAGTAAAACTGATGCATAATAAATGAGGTTAGGGTTGAGCCATGTTACTTTTAAGCCTATAGGAAAACTGAAAAACCGAAGTGTTTTTTGTTGTTAGATATCCAAATCTATCAGAAATTCCATGGGATTTGAGCTCTGAACTATCCAGAGACCCTTGGGATAAAACAAAAGGAAAGTATATCAGGGCTTACTCTTGGGTTCTCCAATGTTTGCCTGCTTGCAGAAGCAGTAAAGAGTGCAAGTAATCTGCTAACCCCCTTGCAATAAATATAAAACCATATATGAAATCAGTTAATTTGACTGACAGCACTATCACGACACTCCCCTGGCCTGTTAATAGACTAGATCAGTGGTCTCCAAACTCTATTGATGGCGCACCCCTATCAGTAAAAAAAAAAAAAAATTTGAGCATGCACCCCCAATATATGTATATTTATATAAACAGAAGTTCTAATATTTTCTTCCCGCACCCCAGTGGATCGTCTTGTGCACCCCACTTTGGAGACCGCTGGACTAGATTATACCCCTTAGAAATACTGCAATACTGCTCCTCTCATCTTCCTTTTTTTTTTTGATGCTGTTTTTCAAGCTTCAGTAAAAGTGGCCAGGTCTGGCTATTCAGTGTGGCTGCACATCCGGTTTTGATATGACAAGCATCCTCCCCTTCAATCTATTGCTACCCATTGCCAAATCAAATAGTGAAAAACATGGATTTCAGCAACATCTTGCTGACCCTTGGGTTATATGTTTGGGAGTACAACACTCTTCAATCTTTCTGCCTAAAACACAGGTTCCAATGCAAAAGGAATTCTTAATTATTCAGTTTTCCTGCCAGGTGGGCAGAAGCTTGAAGCAGTGCTATGAAAAGCTTTTCTAACTGGCTGGTAGTAGCAGACAGTTAACACTCAGCAGGAGTGTTTACACGAGACATATACAGTTGTCCAATTAGCTCTGCAGTAAACATCTTGGCATCTATACATGCAGTGCTATTACAACAGAGTAAAATGATTAACTCTGGTGTAGGTTATTACTTGTGTTTACAAGTAATATCCTGCAGCGGACTATTTTTACTCTGCAGCAACGCGCATGTAGATGCTGTTGGGGCATGAGGGTGCTTCAGTGTGAGGGGTGCCTGCCAATCAGCCCTGCACTGAAGCACCCTTGTGGCCCAGCCAGCCCCTGCACAGCACGTTGAGCTGGATAGGAGTAGCCCTGGGCTGGCAGGCTGACCCCCCCCAGGGTCCCCTGCCAGCTGAGGCTGCTCTGCCCCAGCTCAGCATGCTGTGGTCGTTGGTTCATGTTCAAATGCAGCACCCAGGACCAATAAACCCTGGTGTGATATGCACTGGAGTTTCCTGTTGCGCATTAATAGCATGTGTAGATGTGCCCACTAACTTGCAAAGCAAGCAAAAAAGCTTTGATAATCTGCTTCTGGACTGCAGATCAAGTGAGTAAAATCAACCTTTTGTTTTACTAAATACTATTCAAAATAGCATCTCAACACAACTGTAGTGGCCTGAAAGACTTAATATTCCCTCTGCTCTGAATCATGTCATACCAGTCTCAATAAAAAAAAAAAAAAAAAAAA